TTCAAGCCACCGAATCCAAGACTTCAATTGCATAGTCGGCCTGTGTTTAAGGCCAGCCACCTTAAACATTAAACAGTATGCCACAGGCTGGCCCTGTATTTTTTACAGAAAAATAAGAAAATGCAAATATGACAGTAAGTAGGAAACCTATGTAGAATTATTTTCCTGTTATGGTATATATCCTTATGGCTTTGTTATCTATAAGCCAGTGTATACATATTGTGTGTGTGCATATTGTATTTATTTAATATGATTCTCATACTTTTGTAGAGGAACTTTTAAATTTTCTCTCAGAACTACCTAGGATCTGTTTATTCCTGTTGTAAAATTTTACTTAGATATTGAGTACTAAATTTATTTGTTTTTTTTTAAATAAAACATTTTTAGACAGACTTTTGCTGTAGGGCATGTGTTCTTGAGAGAGAGAGAGAGAGAGAGACAGACAGACAGACAGAAAGAGAGAAATCATCCCCCAGGGGGTATGGCCATACCACAGTCCTTTCCCTTCTTCTCCTGAGATTTTGGGCATGCACGCATATGCGTCTGGCGTGAGTTTGAGTCACTTGAATGTGGGAGTCCAACAAAGTAACCCTTGTGCCATCTGCTGGTCCCGAGTACTAAATTTTATTTGTTGATTGTATTGGACTCTTCCAAGAGACTTCCTTCAGTTTGAAGATTTGTATTATTTAGCTTTGGCTTATTTCCTTTTTTTTTTTTTTTTTTTTTTTTTTGGGGTTTTTTTTTTGTGCGTGCATTCGCCCGACAGAGACAGAGAGACAGAAAGCGAGAAATCACCCCCCGGAGGGATGGCCATGCTGCAATCCCTTCTCCATTCTCCTCTCGGTATCTTGGGCATGCATGCACATGCGCCCTGTGTGCGGCACATGCGCCCTGTGTGTGTTTAAGCCACCGGGTCCAGGACTTGAACCACGGTTGACTAGGTGGGAGTCCAGTGACATAGCCATTACACCAACTGCTGGTCCCATGGCTTATTTTCTTGTTAATTTTCTATTTTCCATACTTGAACTCCTGGCAATTGGATTTTTGATCAATCATCTGTTTCATTGCTTAGCTTTCGTATTTTCTCAGTCTCTTTAACTTCTTTGGAAAATGCTTTTGCATTTTTCTCCACCTCTTCCTTAAGTTACTACATTCTGGAAGCCAAATTTTCAAAGCTTTTTTTTTTTGTTGTAGTGTTACTATTTTATGAAATTTTATTACATTTTTTAAGTATATGAATTTGTGCCTGTGTTTGAATATTTTTTTTTTAGTTTGAAATAGTCACTAAATTTAGAAATGTTAGATGTATAGTACAATTTTTTAAGAGACATTTTTGTTATAGGGCATGTGTCCTCATTCAAGAAGCAGAGAAACTGAAAGTAAGAAATCTCGCACAGTGGGCAGGGCGGGGGTGATAGCTACACTGCACTCCTTTCTAATCCATTCTCCTGGGGATTTTGGGCACATACACATGTGCCTACGTGAGTTTTAAGCTGCCAGGTCCAGGACTCAAATGGGGGTTGATTACATGGGAGTCCAGTGATGTAACCATTAACGCCATCTTCTGGTCCCAGTACACATAATTTTTTCCTGGTTTTTTTTTTTTTTTTTCTTTTTTTCTTTTTGGATTTCCACTGTGTATCTGCAATCACCAGGCATTCTCATACTTTGCTGCTATCCTTTTTCCTCCATTTTCCTTTTCCATCAGGATTTTGGGCCTGCATGTATGTGTGCCTGGTATACTTTCCAAGCCACCAGGGCTGTGAGATTTGAACTACCATTGGCTGTGTGGAATCCAGTTCCCAATGCACAGGACTTAAGCAGTGTGCTATGGTGTCAGCTCTTCTGACGTCTTTCATTTGAATATTTTAATATATTCTACAAAACAGTACTTTCTGTATAATTACAATACAATCATGACATTTAATAAATTAGCATTGACTTATACTTTCTATGGACTCATAATTTCTTCATTCAGTGGCATATGTTCTGTTAATATCATTATTTTGATGCTAAAGTTATCCTAATTTGGTCAGATTGGAGCCCTTTTAGTATTAGTTCTCTGTACGATATCACTTCATTTCTTTGAGCACTTCCTTGCTTCCTGACACAACATATTGTTCCAGGCTTATCGTGTACTTTTCCCGTCTAGTCCTGGAACTGGCCGTTTCCCCAAAGATTCCTGGTTTCTTTTAGTAGAAAGTGGTATTTATAAGATCTTGGCATTAGGTTTGCTTATTGCTACTGGAATGTCACTTGTTTCATAGACATTCAGTTTACATAAGGTGTGAAATTTACAGAGTATTACAGCTTTATGTATAAACACATAACATCATGTTTAAATATATAAATCCATCTCTGTGTTGAAAATCATGTTCATGCTGATTACTTATTACAATTCAGCATCTTAGTATTGAATCTAGCTTTCCCTTTTATGTGTTTGTTACTCTCTTCTCTGACCTAAAAAAATTTGGCTGCCATCATCCTTAATGTACTTATTACTTGGTCAGTACCCCTGGATGTAGTCAGTCTCCCATCTCTGCCATTATTCCCCACCCTTGCTTAGATACTCTTTTCTGCTTAAGCTCTGACTTCCATTTTAGGAGTCAGTATATTGTCTTGTATGATGAACTATTATTACATGTTCGTATTTAAGGATAAGAAAGAAATAAGCCAATTAGGAATTCTGTTTATGTGAGTAGGACTTGAATTTTATTTTGGAATTAGCAAGCCAGGAGTGACCCATTACTGTGGGGGATTTCCAATCTCAGTACTTGTTGCTCTGTGAAACTAGCATTCATCCAAACTAGCTGTACTAGTATCCCCTCTCCCCCCCCTTTTTTTTTTATTTGTTATAGGGTGTGTGCACTTGCCAGAGGGACACAGAGACAGAGAGAGGGAGAGAGAGAGTGGGAAAGCATCCCCCAGAGAGGATGACAATGCAACAGTCCCTTCTCTTTTATTATGTTCTTGAGATTTCGTGCATGCAGGCACATGGGCCCAGTGTGACTTTGTGTGTGTGTGTGTGTGTGTGTGTGTGTGTGTGTGTGTATAATATAAGAGTTTTGCCCTATTGTTGGAGAAAGAGACAGAGAGAAAGAAAGAAATCATTCCCCAGGGAGGATGACCACACTTCAGTTCTTTCTCCTCCATTCTGTTCTTGGGATTTTGGGCACATGGCACACGTAGTTGGTGTGTTTTTCAAGTCAGATGGTCTGGTATTTGAACTGTGGAGTTGGCCGTATGGGATCCAGTGCTGTAACTACCATGCCACCTGGTTGACCCACTTTTATTTTTTTTTTAAATGTAGATTAACTTTTTTTTTTTTTTTTGCCTTGGGAGAAAAATTTCTGGCTATTTAGGATTTTATCTTATTTAGTTACTGTGGTGGATGACCGTCAACTCTTCCATATGAAGATTGAGTAATTCTTCTATTCCCAAACTTGTATTCATGTGAACCTCCCTTTTCTGAATTTCTGGCCTTTCTGAGATACTGCATAGAAATTTGGTTTTTCATTTATAGCTATCTTAAAGTTCTCTAGCCTTTCTCTCAGTGGTTTTATCAGCTATACATCCACTTTTAGAAAATTGTTAAAATTGCTTGCTGATGACTCCTTTACTATGTTGGCATGTTTTCAGATGTAAAGAGAAATTTTGTAGAAAATTTGCTTATAAGTAAAAAAATAAATGAGTTCTCATATAATGAGAACTCTAAAGGTATTAGAGTTTTGGGTTACTTTAACATTTAGTTGAATCCAGCAAAGATTCACGTCATTTTAGATTTCTTTTCTCTCATCATAATTATATCTATTGTTTTTCTTGTTTCAAGTGGTAGCAGTTTTGAATATCACATCCTCATAAAAGAATATCTAAGGTCTGCAAGAAGACATAACTTCTTTTTGTTTCATTTATTTCATAAAATAAATTTTTAAAAAGAATGATTACTTTAATCTGTCACTATTATTGTTTTAAAATTTGCTACAGAGCATGCGCTCACCAGAGAGAGACAGAGAAAGAAAGTGAGAAAGCAAGCTGCCATGGTCTGGGACTTGAACTGTGGTTAGACATGTGAGAGTCCAGCTCTTTAACCACCATGCCACCTGCTGGCCCTTGTGTTTTATTTTTAAGGTTAAAATAAAACCTTTCCAAAAGGAAGGTTAGAATTCATCCATCCTATACCTGTTTGAAGACCAGTCATGGAGTTTAATTGTATGTGATTAGAATTAGTATAAAGGGTATGACCCTACCTAGCCTTTTTCCTAACTGGCAGCAGCAGATAGGTGGTACAGTAAAAGCATTGGCTGTGGTTGGGTTCTTATCTAGGATCTAACTGGGGCATGGAGAGAGAGTATCTCCTTTTAAACTCTTGTGATTGTTAGAGACTCTTGTGATTGTTAGAGTATATGCTTCTAAACTCATGTGATTGTTAGCATCCTTCAATTGCCTTCAGGTTGCTGGGTTGAGGATTTCCATTTCTTGATTGTTGTCAGCTAGAGACCTCCCTCAGTTGCTTGCTTGGCTCTCTCCATAGGCCTGCTTACAATATAGCAGCTTTTGTCTTCAAAGCCAACAAGAAAGAGAGTCTTCTAGCGATATGGGCATTACAATCTTATGTGATAACATACAATCCAACATTTTTGTTATATTCCATTGGTTAGAAGTCAGAGAGGGAATTACACAAGGACAAAAATAAATACCAGGAGGTGTGAGAACCATCTCAGAGTCTACCACAAATGATGTGTACAGACATCGGACTGTAAGAACATCTGAGGGCATGAATTTTGCCTTGCATTTCTTGTGAGGGCCCTAGGTAAAAGTTATTTTATGCTCTGTCCTGGAGTAATCAAGGAATTTGCTGATTTAGCCAAATATTTAATATCATTGAAACAAGTTTTGATGATGTCTTTGTAGTCGTATTTGCTGCTAAACAGATTCCCTCATTTTAAGTTATTAATTTGATGTATTTCGTGAATTAAACATTTTTTTCCCTCTTTTTGTAGTCGACTACATTGTGGAGTATGACTATGATGCTGTACATGATGATGAATTAACTATTCGAGTTGGAGAGATAATCAGGAATGTGAAAAAACTGCAGGAGGAAGGATGGCTGGAAGGGGAACTAAATGGGAGAAGAGGAATGTTCCCTGATAATTTTGTTAAGGTAAGTATTTTCAGTTAAATTTTTAGCTGTTGCTTCACAGAATTTAATTTTCTAAAACTTACTTTTGACAAATTAAGGATAAATTTATCTTTCAAATGTTAGAAAATACATATTTTTAAAAAGCTGAAATGTGTATCCAGCAGGTTGTGTGGTGGTTCAGGCGCTGGACTCCTACCCGGCTGATACTGTTTGAGTCCTAGACCCAGCTGATTAAAAATTGGGCCAGGCATGTGTTAGTGTGTGTCCAAAATCCTGAGAGGAGAAGGGTTTGCAGCGTGGCCATCCCCCCAGGGAGTGATTTCTCACTTTCTCTCTTTCTTTCTCTCTCTGGTGAGCACTTGCACCCTATGGCAAAAACCTGTTCTAAAAAAGGTAAAATGTTTTAAGCCAACTTTAGGAGTTTAGTGGTAATGCAGTATTCCCCAACATTGAAGCCACCTGGGAAGGTCCTAGATTTGCCTCCTAGGATCTCCTTATGTATGCTGGGCATGTACTTGTTCATGTCTGGGATCCTGGCTGGTTGTAACTGGAGGTGGATCAGGGTAGGAAGATTCTGCTCTGTTTCAACTTATGCAGTAGTTGAATAACATGGCTGCTTAATTAATATTTGTTCCCTGAATAAATGTATTTACTTTAGTTGTGATTTCATCTCCAGGTATCAACAGCATAGTTTATTCTGTTAACTGATTTCAGAGGAAGTGCAATAACTACACTTTAACTACATTTTATCTCATGAACTACTGAGAAAAACTGTAGAATAGGACATTGAATTTATGGGGGAGTTTGCATTTTTGCATCTGAGGGCATGAATTTTGCCTTGCATTTCTTGTGAGGGCCCTAGGTAAAAGTTATTTTATGCTCTGTCCTGGAGTAATCAAGGAATTTGCTGATTTAGCCAAATATTTAATATCATTGAAACAAGTTTTGATGATGTCTTTGTAGTCGTATTTGCTGCTAAACAGATTCCCTCATTTTAAGTTATTAATTTGATGTATTTCGTGAATTAAACATTTTTTTCCCTCTTTTTGTAGTCGACTACATTGTGGAGTATGACTATGATGCTGTACATGATGATGAATTAACTATTCGAGTTGGAGAGATAATCAGGAATGTGAAAAAACTGCAGGAGGAAGGATGGCTGGAAGGGGAACTAAATGGGAGAAGAGGAATGTTCCCTGATAATTTTGTTAAGGTAAGTATTTTCAGTTAAATTTTTAGCTGTTGCTTCACAGAATTTAATTTTCTAAAACTTACTTTTGACAAATTAAGGATAAATTTATCTTTCAAATGTTAGAAAATACATATTTTTAAAAAGCTGAAATGTGTATCCAGCAGGTTGTGTGGTGGTTCAGGCGCTGGACTCCTACCCGGCTGATACTGTTTGAGTCCTAGACCCAGCTGATTAAAAATTGGGCCAGGCATGTGTTAGTGTGTGTCCAAAATCCTGAGAGGAGAAGGGTTTGCAGCGTGGCCATCCCCCCAGGGAGTGATTTCTCACTTTCTCTCTTTCTTTCTCTCTCTGGTGAGCACTTGCACCCTATGGCAAAAACCTGTTCTAAAAAAGGTAAAATGTTTTAAGCCAACTTTAGGAGTTTAGTGGTAATGCAGTATTCCCCAACATTGAAGCCACCTGGGAAGGTCCTAGATTTGCCTCCTAGGATCTCCTTATGTATGCTGGGCATGTACTTGTTCATGTCTGGGATCCTGGCTGGTTGTAACTGGAGGTGGATCAGGGTAGGAAGATTCTGCTCTGTTTCAACTTATGCAGTAGTTGAATAACATGGCTGCTTAATTAATATTTGTTCCCTGAATAAATGTATTTACTTTAGTTGTGATTTCATCTCCAGGTATCAACAGCATAGTTTATTCTGTTAACTGATTTCAGAGGAAGTGCAATAACTACACTTTAACTACATTTTATCTCATGAACTACTGAGAAAAACTGTAGAATAGGACATTGAATTTATGGGGGAGTTTGCATTTTTGCTTTTTTTTTTTTTATAAATTGACTTTTAAAATAATATATACTAAAATATGCAAATACCATGGAAGTTTGAAGGCAAGAAAAACTGGATTTAAATTAAATGCAGTATCTTCTAGCTTTGACCTTTCCTGGCAATGTGATGTTGGGCCTATCACATAGTTTTTTTTTTTTTTTTTTTTTTTCCACTTCAAAATGGTATGTTGATGCATTATAAAAAACACATCACGGCGTTCCCGATAACCTAATAAGTTTTTGAGTATTTCAGGTAATAAAGGGAAGCTTAATCTGGGATTAAAATGAACTACTGGATACTGGATTAGAATTGGAGACATCATCAGTATGAGCTCATATTTAGTTATGAGAGGCCATGACATTGTCTGCTCATCTTTTTTTATATTTTTTTCCAAAGTGGATTTTTTGGAGAAAATTTATTGTAATAAGAGAATACTGACCTAAAAAATGAAGGGACAGCAAGTGATGTGAAGGGTAAGGTGCTGGATCCAACATGGCTGACCTCACAGTTTGAGTCCTGGATCTGGCAGCTTGAGAAACATGCAGGGCACATGTGCATGCATGCCCAAAATCCTGAGGAGAATGGAGGATAAGGGGTTGCCTTGTGGCCATCCCCTCAGAGGGTGATTATCACTGTCTCTCACTTTCAGCAGTTAGTGCATGTGCCATCTGATAAAATTAAAAAAAGAACAAAAAGTTTAAAGTATTTGTGTAGGTTTTCAGTTGTATGCTGAGATACGCTCATAATAGTGGAGATGATCTATTGTGGGACTCCATTTTAAAATATACATACATACATACACACACACACATATATATAATCTATTCTATCTCTCTCTGTATCTCTCTCTCTTTATAAATATATATGTGTTACCTATATGTAGAGAGATATAGAGATAGAGATATATGTGTGTTATCTGTATACAGAGAGATATATAGATATATATATGTATGTACATACGGACATGGAGATATATAGATATAGACACATATGTATCTAAACTTGTTTTTTGGGGGGGAGAGGTTTTTGCTATAGGGCACGTGTGCTCGCCAGACAGACAGAGACAGAGACACAGAAAGCGAGAGATTACCCCCTGGGGGGATGGCCATGCTGCAGTTGCTTCTCTTCCATTCTCCTCTCGGGATCTTGGGCACACACGCATACATGCCCGGCATGAGTTTTAAGCCACCTGGTCTGGGACGCAAATTGTGGTCGACTACGTGGGAGTCCAGCGACATAGCCATTACACTAACTGCTGGTCCCTGTCTCTAAATTTTTTTAGAGAGATTTTTACTATAGGGTGCATATGCTTACTAGAGAGACAAAGTGAGAAATCACCCCCTGGGGAGTCGGCCATGGCATAATCCCTTCTCCTCCATTCTCCTCTTGAGATTTTTGTGTATGTATGCATACCTGGTATGAGTTTCAAGCTGCTGGTTTTGGGACTGGAACCACAATTGGCCACGTGGGAATACAGCGATGTCACTATTATGCCATCTGTGTGTCCCGAAATACATATTTTTAATGAATTGCTTGCTAATAGAGGATATATTGGGTTATTGGAAAAGTCATGACTTTTTTTTGTTTTTCTATGCAAAAATGCATTATAACTTTTCCAATGATCTAATATTTGTGTGTGTATATGTATGTATGTGGTGGTTTTTTTTTTTTTTTAAGGCAGGGTCTCTCTGTTTTGATCCTCAACCTCGTGAGTACCTGGGATCACACATGCACACCACCATGCTTGGCTTTTTTTTGGGTAAATTGAGCATTGAACCAGAACTTCCTATGTGGCCTCAGCCTGCTGAATAGCAGCATTTACCACATGCTGCAGTAACTGGTCTGTGAGGATGTATTGGGTCATTGGGAAAGTTATGATGCATTTTTGCATAGAAAAACATATCATGACTTTCTTGATGCTCTAATAGTTTATGATATTCCAGGTAATAGAGGGAAACTTAACCTGGAATTAAAAACAAGCTACTAGATACTGGATTAGAATTGTAGACATTGGTATGAACTCATGTTTATTTATTTATTTTTTTTGGAGAGGTTTTTGCTATAGGCTGCGTGTGCTTATCAGAAAGAGAGAGACAGACAGAAAGCCCCAAAGGAGGGTGGCCTTGTCGCCATCCCTTCTCCTCCATTCTCCTCTTGGGATCTTGGGCATGCACACACACGCACCCAGTGTGAGTTTAAGCCACTGGGTATGGGACTCAAACTGCGATCCTCTACATAGGAGTCTATGACATAGCCATTGAGCCAACTGCTGGTCCCCATGTTTACTTAAAAAAATGTACAAGTAGGTACTGGTGTAGTTTTATATATGTATGTATATATAGATTGCTGTATATACACATATGTTCTTTAGCTTCTATTGCTAAGAGGGTCTAGCAATGACATCTTAGTAGCAGTGAGTACATCTGGTATCCACACTGGGTTTCTGAATATCATTTTCAAATAAAAGGAGGCAAGGCTCATTAGAGGAACAGCTGATACTAGACTGGTGTAAAGAAGCTGAAGCAACTTGTAATGCCTGGAAATAAGTACTTTAAAAATCAGAAAGACGAATCGTCAAAGGGACATGGGAACCAACTTGCAAGAGCTCCTATCTGGAAAGAGCTGGCACAATTTTAGCAGCATAGAAACCTGGTATTTGATTATTACCCAAAGTAGAACATAACTATACATGTGTCTATACTGATATGAATAAATAGCTGAGTAAATAAACAGGAAAGAAGGAATACATTTACAGAAGAGTTGTAAATAATATTTGTAGATACTTCGCTTTGTTCACTCTCCTCCCTTGGGCTTCTCTCAGGTGTAAGGAATAGATGAAAAGGGAAAAATAGTAACTTTACAGTGGAGAAGTCATTCAAATACTACCTTTACCAAAAGATCAAGGTTAATTTCACCATGACATGTTATGTTATGTGTCTCATTCACCCCTTTTGTATTCCTCAAACTCGTAACTCAGTCTAATCATAAGAAAAACCTCAAAGGCAGGTTGAAGACATTCTAACTGAATACCTGACTGATGTTCTTAGAAATGTCAAGTCATGAAAAACAGGGAGAAACTAAGAAGTTGACACTGAGCAGAGGAGACAGAGGAGACTTGATTAAATGCATTGTGGTATCCTAAATCGAAGTGTGGAACAGAATAAGATTAGTGGAAAGATTGATGAAGTCTATATAAAGTCAATAATTATGTTACTAGTAATGTGTCAGTGTTAATTTCTTAGTTTTATTAAGTGAATCTTGGTTGTGCACAATGTCAGCATTAGGCAAAACTGAGTATTCCAAAGCAAAACTTTTATTTAAAAAAGTAGTCTTGTGTAATCAACAGTGGTGGGTAATCCACAAATTAATAGACTAGTTGGATTTACCACTTTTTTTTTTAAAGAATTACTTATTTTAATTTTATTTATTTTTTAATGTGACCAGAGAGAGACAGAAGGAAAGTAAGAAAGCAAGCTGCCAGGTCTAGGACTCAAGCCATGTGGGAGTCCAGTACCTTAACAACCACACTACCTGCCTTCCCCTGGCTTTACCACTTTAAACATGTATGTTAAGAACTAGAGGAAGGCTAATTTATAATTCAGTGTCTACTGAAAGTCTTAGTGAGACATTAACATGCATATATATATATATATATATATATATATTTGTAAATGTGTGGCAGTGGAGTGGATGTTGGAACTAGACTTCTTGTTAAAAAAAAAAAAACTCTTATCCTGCTATTATTTCATATAGCTATATTTGAAGCATAATCATATTCAAATTGAGCAGGAAGATTTATTATAGAAAGGCCAAATCATGTTTGTGACCTGTTATGAAAAACTTGAGACATTGTAAGTCTGTTTTATGACATTCATTGCCATTTTCACTGTCCACGTGCAGTGTTAGTTTGCCTTCCAACTTTTAAGAGGTATTTTACAACCAGTATAGAACAAAGATCCATGAATGTAATGTATAAAAATGTTGGTGTTTTGCCATCTTTGCTTCATTATTACTTTGTAATAAAGTTAAATTATAAAGTTGATTCTTGTTACCCATTTTTGTTTCCTTTCTTCTGCAGAACTATGTTCTTAAATTGTATGTATCTTTCTAGTTCATGGGTGTGTTCATATTTGTCTATGTATAAACAAATACTATTTTGTATGATTTAAGTATTTACCTAATTTATTGTGTCAGC